AAAAAAAAAAAAAAAAAAAAAAAAAAAAATAATATATATAATCACCATGATATAATACATGAATATAATCACTAGGACCATTATTTGATATGAATATAGACACCTTTTTATGTGTGATATGAATATAATGTAGCCAATCCTTATGGTATTTAAAAATTAGTGTGTGTGTGTGTGTGTGTGTGTGTGTGTGTGTATGTGTGCGCATGCCTGAATTGGAGGTCAGAGGAAAACTTTCAAGAGTCAGTCTTCTCCTTCCACCATGGATAATCTGGAGTTCATTTCCTGATTGAATTCAGGGAGTCAAACTTGTGTAATCAGGCTTGGCAGCAGATGCCTTTACCTGCTAAGGCATCTCTCTGCCTCTTTAGGTTAGTCTTTGGAACAAAGTCTCTCCCTTTAGTATGTGCTGATTTAGAACACACCAATGTAGATCTGCTGCAGCTCCCAAGTGCTGAGAATATGTACATAAGCCACCGTATTGTACTCGTGCACTTGTGTTTGTGGGACCTACCTCCTCGTGATGAGAGACATGTTAGGTCAGTCAGAGCATGACTGTACAGTGTGGAGGGTAGCCCAAGAAACACAGGCAGTGTAAGAAGGGAGCTGTGCATCTGTTGTGCTTTCCCATACATGTTGAAGTCCCAGGCCCCAGTACCTATGACTGTAGTCCTGTTTAGAAGCGGAATCTTGCAGATAATCAAGTGCGGATATCATTAGAGTCATTTCTAATTCAATATAACTGACACCCTTAGAAAGTGTGGACTTTTTCTTGAAGGATCCATGTAGTTCACTCGAGCTGCTCTCTACCTTACTATACAGCTAAGGATGACTTTGAACTTTGGATCCTCTCACCTCTGCTTTCTATGTCGTGAGATTATGATGTGCAAAACAATGACACTCCATTTTAACAGTGGAAACTTGAAACTGGGCAAATGCCCATGATTCAAGCCCTTGGGAGCTGTATGCAGGGATATCTGGAGTTCAGGGTTATCCTTGGCTTTATAGTCTGAGGCCACTCTGAGGTATATGCAATCTCATCTCAAAACCATTTTTTAAAGTGGAAATTTATACAGAGACAAGTAAAGTGGAGAGTACCATATGTAGATTTTTTTCCATTTGTTTGTTCGAGAACTTTTAAAAATTTTAGTAAGTGATTGTGTGTGTGTGTGAGAGAGAGAGAGAGAGAGA